TATGCTTCATGTCTATTCATTTATAAGCAATGTTCATGACTTCATCTCTCCTGACAGCTGCATAGTATTCCACTGTGTAGATGTACCAAAGTTTCTTTAACCAGTCATCTGTTCTAGGGCACTTGGGTCGTTTCCAGATTTTGGCTATTGTGAACAGTGCTGCAATGAACAGATAGGTAGAGATGTCATTTCTACTGTGCTTTTTTGAATCCTTGGGATATATTCCCAGAAGTGGTATTTTGGGGTCATATGGAAGCTCAATTTCTAGTTTTTGAAGGACTGTCCATATTGTTTTACAGAAAGGCTGGACTAGAGGACATTCCCACCAACAGTGAAAGAGTGTCCCTTTTTCCCCACATGCACACCAGCACTGGTTGCTTTTATTCTTTTGAATGTGTGCCAGTCTCTGTGGTGTGAGATGATATCTCAGTGAAAACAACCTGGATCGTTCAACTATAAAAAAGGAAGAAAATTCTGCATTTGTTGTCAACAACATAATAAACCTTGGGAGGTATGTGAAATAAGTCATATAGAAGAAATAAGACTTGGCTAGAGAGGTATAAGTCATTGGACTAGAATACAGGCTTTGCATTTAGGAGGCCCAGATTCCATCCTCAGTATTGCATGTGCTCTCTTGAGCACCTCCAGAAGACACCCCTAAGCACTGAGCCAGGAGTAGCTCCTGGCATTGCCAGTAATGGCCCACAGACAAGACCAAAAAGAAAAAAGAAGAAAATACTTGTATTGCAAACCATAATGCCCATAAGTAGAGAACAAGAGGGAAACTGTCTTCCAGAGAGGCACGGGGAAAGATCACATGTGAAGGAGGGGTGGTGGTGGAGGGATACAGGGGACATTGGTGGTGGAAAATGTACACTGTCAGAGGATGGGTGTTCAATTATTGTATGACTGAAACTCAAACTTGAAAGTTTGCCAGTGTTGCTCATGGTGATTTATTTTTAAAAAGCAAAATAAAATAAAAGACAGATACTGTATGATCTTATTTATATGTGAATTCTAAAAATCCAAATTCTCCTCCAAAAAGAGAGAGCAGATTAGTGACTGCCAGGAGAAGAGGTAGTAGGTATAGAAAATAGGTGAAGGTGATCAAAGGGTATAAATTTCCAGTTACGTGATGAGTAAGCACTCGGTATGTAATGTGCAACATGGTGATTATAGTTAATAATACTGCTTGTACCATTGAAAGTTTCTATGAGAATAAGGTTTTAAAAGTTCTTACCATACAAAAAGATGCAAATATGTGAGGTGATTACTGTTTTTTAATATATTCATACAAATAATTAAACTGTACAGCTTAAACATCTATGCCTTAGATGTCAACTACATCTCAGTAAAGTTGAAAAAATAATGAAAAATTTTAAATATTAGCACAAAATATACTGTTACACTAAATTAAAATTTTTTCAGTTCCTTTAACAAGTCTCTTGAGAATAGTTGCTTCTAACAGAGAGAAGTAACTACAAATCAACAGATGTTCCTTCATTCAACTGCCTGTCAAGTTTAGGGTTTTTTTCCTGCAAATTTCAACAGCCATTACCAATTTCATTTTTCATTTTCAACCACTGATGAGCCTCCATAACCACCAGTATTATTTTCTCACTTGATCTATATTCAGACCATAATGCAAGATATGCCAGTCCCAATGCAAATCTGTACGCTTTAGAGTAATCACAGAATATTTTTCTACTTTGTGACTATGTCTTGCAGACTACATATATTGGTTATTATCTTTTTTTCCCCTGATAAGGCATAAGTTTAGTTCCTAAGAAAGCCACTGGTTAAAATTTACTACTTTAGACTGGATGGCTAATAGCAACTGCCCTGAATGCAGCTGACCTGAGTTTGATCCCTGGCATCCCATGTGATCCCTGAGCACAGTGAGGAGTGATTCTTGAGTGCAGTGACAGGAGTAAGCCCTGAGCACTACCAGGTGTGGCCCCAAGCCCCAAAACAAAAATAAAATTAAAATTAAATTATCTTCTCTTCCACAACACTGAACAAACATTCTGTATCACGTAACAAGCATTACTGTGAAGATTCAGCAGATTAATAAAATATCTTTTCTTTTTGGCTGTTATATTTTAGTCAGAAAGAACAAATAGTAATATATAATAAATGTGTGGTCATAGCTACTATTGAAAAATAAAAGTAGGAGAAGAGTAGGGTAAGCTTAGGGGTTAATTACACTTTTCAGAAGTCTATTCAGAAAAGTTGTCATTGTAAAGGTGGTATTGTCTGAGCAAAGACTTGGTGGGAAGAAGGGAGTAAGCCAGGTGGATACTGGGCAAGAAATTTTGAGGCAGACGGTACACTTACTGTAAAAGTGAATATAGGCCATTCAAAGCACTCGGAAGTTTTACTGTAATCATCTGCCAGGAACACAATAGGGTCAGACTTTTGTTGTTGTTGTGGCTATAAAGAACCCACCTACAAGAGGTCTTAATCATCTTAAGAATAACATCAGAGCATATCTGTTTAGTATTCTCACAGCTGTGACTCTGATGCCAATATTTACAGCCTACACGATCTCTTTAGCTTTGCGTGGGCCTTGGAAGCACAGTCCAGTCAACCCAAACGAAACTAGAAGAGGAAGGTTCGGGTAGCTCTGTAGGCCCCATGGCTTTTGGTCTCATTCTCTTTCTATAGAGAGCTGTATTTTAACCATATGTAGCCAATGATCCCTAGTTTGAATTTAATACAAAATATAGTCCATTAACATTTGAATGAAAAAATTCATGTCAGATGGTTAGTGGTGGACTCCTGTCCCTTAAATTGCCAAGACAGAGGGCTACTGAGAACAAAGGCACTTCTCATGCCACCAGATTTGCTTCCAAACTTGTCTAGTCAAGACAACAAATTGTGAGACTTGTTACTGTTTTTGGCATATTGAATACCTCACGGGGAGCTTGCCAGGCTTTGCCTTGCAGGCATGATACTCTTGATGGCTTGCCGGGCTCTCCAAGAGGGGCAAAGAAATCGAACCCAGATCAGCTGTGTGCAAGACAACACATAGCCTCTAAAATATGGATAGTTGTGTTGTTTTAAATTCAAGTGAATTATTGATCTTTGTGACTTTGTTTTCAGTATAAATTTAGAATATAATTTCATGTGTTGAGGTTGTTCCACATGTATATTTGGGAGTGGACAGAGATGATATTTCCATATTGAAACCATAGTGTAATAAACTCTACAGTTTAGGAATGTGTATTTTTAAAAACTTTAGGTAATGTCATGTCAACACTTTTGCTACTGATATTCTGAAATAATCACTGAAAACATGCCACTTCTCCCCTCATGAAAGAATGCAATTTTCTAATTAATGAGGCACCTTTAATTTTAGGTGGAAAAGGTAATATAATATGCCAAATGTACCAAATTGGAAAGAATAAAGCTATCAGTCTACTATAGTTAAGAGATTTATAAATGATGTGTGAAATAAATGTATGTATTAGATATGGGGGACTTGTCTTCACTTATGAAATTTTGAACAGACACATCACACAAATGAGACTTGTGAACAGTTATGAAAGACCAATCATGTACCCCACAGATTAAAGCTGCAAAATGTTAGAGCCCAGGGTTCAGTTACAGGTCAAACCCACTAAGTCTTTAGCAGTTAGATTTTTAGATTCTCACCGGCTCAGGAAAGACATCTAATTTTGGGGTTCCTCATCTGGGAACACAAAGTGGACAATAATACCTGTCTTGAAGATAAGAGAACTCAATCAATTAACATCTAATATCCTTAGAATATAAGAATGGTGTCTAGCACATAGTGGATATTCAGTAATTATTATGAATCTAGAGGGTGATACAGTGATATATCAATAGCCTTAATGAAACAGTGTATTTGGTACAATTCCTACATTTTCAGGGAGCTTCATCTTATTCCCTGTAGCCCTCCCATCCCCATATGATTTCTGGTTTGAAGACTTATGGAGGCTTAGAGGAATGACTCTTCCAAGTAAAACTGCATGCAATGCCTTAAGTCAAAGGAAGCTTGTATGTAGTTGTGGGCAGACAACTGACCAGTCTGATGTTTCACTTCTCTTTTTTAATCTCAAGGAAATTAATGGAGAGTATCTTATGTGGATCTTTGTTCCTGTTTAAGGTTTAAAATCTTGATGTACTTTGGGAGAAAATTTAGATTTCTTTATAGTCTAAGTCTCACTGCAGAATACAAAAAGAAGTTTATCACAATGGATTGTAATATTATGTCTGATACTTGTTCCCTCCAAAGAATCTATTTCTGGTGACAGACTCCCTAAATATATCTATCTAACTGATGGTGTAAAATTCCTTGCTGACTTCTGCAACTCACAGTTACAGTCTACACATAGATCAGTTCATCTCTTTATATTGCAGAACTATACAAACGTTAATATAAAAATACAGGTCCTTGGATAAATCCAGTTTCCAAGTCTTGCTTCAGACGGCCTGAAGCTTTTTTTTTGGTTGTTTTGTTTTTGTTTTTAAATCAACAAGTCTACCAACCGAGAAAACTCAGACTAACAGATGGATCCTTCAGGTTCCATCCGTCCAACAGGAATTAAACATCCCGCCAGAACGGGAGTACTTTCAAACAAAAGTTCGCCTTAAATCTTCTCTGGCTCAAGTTGTGCAGACCGTCCCAAGAAGGCTAAAAAGCCTCGCAACCTGCTAACTCGGGGTGTGCGGTGCGATGCGCGTGTCTTTGAGTCTCATCAGAACACGCGCAGGACCCACTTTCCCAGGGTCGCCCAATCAAAGGCTCGCTCTCACCTCTGAGGCTGTCAACTCTCACGCCACGCCCCGAGCGCGGAGCCCCCTCCTCACGCTACAACTCCCCACGCCCCGCCCCGCCCAGGAGGTCGCACCGTTTCGATTGGAAGACGCTCCTCTCATTCACGAGCCAGAGCCAATGACGCGCGGGGCTAGTGAAGAATGGCGGAGCCAATGGGATCGCTCGCTGCGGGAGCTGCCGGGTCTCTAGCGCCAGGAGGCGGCGCTGGGGGCGGGGTGCGAGTGGAGGGGGCGGATCGATTGCCATTTGGAGTGCGAAACGGGCGGAGGCAGTGGCGTGGGCTCCGCGGAACTCCGGGCACCTCGAGGGCCCTCTCCCCTACTCCGATCCCCGCGAGCAGAAGGCCCGGCCCTCTCCTTAGGCGCCCGCCCGGCTCTTCCGCGCGTCCAGTCCCGCGAGGGCTGCAGGAGGCTGCGAACGTCCCCTGGGGCTGCGTGTTCGGGTCGTCGCCCGCGTCCCCTGTCAATGCAATGCCCCAGGCGGCGGCGCCGGCGGCAGCAGCAGCAGCAGCAGCTCCGGGCTCCTCGCGGCCCCGACCGTGACCGCCACGCCGAGCGCAATCGGGCGGTTGGGGCCGTTGGACGTTTGTTTCCTCAGCCTTCCCCTCCCCCCGTCGCCGAGGCGTCGGGGGTGCGCGTTGAGAAGGGGGAGCCGAGAGACTCCTCCCCCTCCCCGATCCCCCCGCCCCTCTCTCTTACACACTCGCACGCACTATCGCGCCGGCTCCCACACGCTCGCGCGCCTCGGTGTCGGCCGGCGTCGTCCAGGGCTCGCGGAGCCACCATGTCCACTGCCTCCTCCTCCACCACCTCTTCCTCCTCCACCTCCTCCTCCTCCTCGTCCAGTTCCTCTCAGACCCCTCATCCCGCGCCGCAGAGGATGCGGCGCAGCGCCGCGGGCTCGCCGCCGGCCGCTCCCGCCGCCGCGAGCGGGAACGGTGCGGGCGCCGGCGTGGGCTGCGCCCCGGCGGCGGGAGCCGGCCGGCTGCTGCAGCCCATCCGCGCCACGGTGCCCTACCAGCTCCTGCGGGGCAGCCAGCACAGTCCCACGCGCCCGCCCGCTGCCGCCGCCGCCGCCGCCGCCGCCTCGCTGGGCAGCCTCCCGGGGCCCGGCGCGGCCCGCGGCCCCAGTCCGCCCAGCCCGACGCCGCCGCCGCCGGCCGCGGCCCCGGCCGAGCAGGCGCCGCGAGCCAAGGGCCGCCCGAGACGGTCCCCCGAGAGCCACAGGAGGAGCAACTCACCTGAGAGACGGAGCCCCGGCTCGCCCGTGTGCAGAGGTAGCGAGCCCAACCCTCCCGTCCTCCCGGGCTGTGTCTCCCCGACGGTGTCCTCCGTGGAAACTTCAGCCTCTCCGGGCTTCTCTTTGCTAGTGCATTCTCGAAGGTGTGAAAGTGGCTTTGGGAATCTCACCCCCCCTGCGGTCGCTGCGGGGCTTGGAGGAGCGCCCTGCAGAAGCAACTTTTTATTTGACCCTCGTTGCCACCACGCAGATTTTGTAGATCAGTCCTCGCCTGCATCGAAAGGTTTTTCCAATTTAGCGCTGATTAGATCACTCGGGTGTTTGCTGTTGGTTGCGGGGAAAGAGGGCTGGGGGAAACGCTTAGGGGGGAAAAAAAAGAGCCCACCAAAACCCAAAACATGCACACAAACTCACCAGCCACTGATGAGGTGGTACTCGCTACTCTTTGTGTTTTCCTACAAAGTTCCTAACATGCCTGTTCAGTACCGGGATGCATAGATATGTGTATAGGATTTTTTTTTTCTTTTGGAGGATGTTGAGATCATATGAGGAGGTATGTTGGATGCATGGTGAGGACGGTTTTTGGACTGCATTTGAAGTGTTTAGTTGTTAGCCCCCCCCCCCCCAACCGCCCCCCCCCCCACGTCTTGTCTCCCTCTTTTCCCTACTTTATATAGTCATAGTAATATACATCAGAGCAGTACTGCCCTGGAAACAAGTTATGCCTAACTCAAGATATTCCTGGTACATTTCTAAAGACCTGTTTTTGTGCAGGTTGTTCACCTTTTTTTTTCTTTCCAATTTATACTTCACAGTACGGTTGAGCTGTTAAAGGGTCTCAAGTTTCTTTTTTGTTAGGTATCAAAGGTAATGGTGAGCTGATGGATGCTGTGAGCATTCTCTTAATGTTTTCTGTTTTGGTTTGGTTTTGTTTATGCCTAGGGATACAGTGCATGATGTAGTTGAGTCCTGGGGGAGAAAAGGAAGCTTAGTCAAAACAGGGACTTAAAGCTCAGGAGGGAGAGTGGAGTAGCTAATATCATTAGATACCAGCCTAGAGCTACAGATGCTGCTGCTGCTGCTGCTGCTGCTGCTGCATTGTGGAGAGAACTGGTGATACTTTAGTGGAAAAATCTCTGCTTGGAAGGAAAACACTGTGGAGCTCTGTACTGTGTTTATGTGGTATGTGGATTTTTATTTTTTTAATGGCGTTTTCTTGATGAAGGTTTTAGACTTGAAAGTGCTTGGCCTGTTTGTGTTAGGATGGGTTGTATTTTTGGTGTTTCGTTTTAATACGTTGAGTGTAATCAGCACCTTGTTAAGGTGCTTGTTTTCAAACCACTTGCTGGTGAGTCAGGATAGTTGGTAGTGCAGAGGTTGTGTACATGAACACCAAGAAATACATCCTGTAATCTGTATGCAGGAGGAATTTGCTCCCCCACTCCTCCCCCAGGTCAAGCCAGCTGCTGCAGAAACTGACATCCTCCAGCAAATCCTGAATGAATGAATGAAAACAACGTGATTGCCCTAATAATGACCACAACTGAACACATCTTTGGCTGTATTTTATAGAAAAAGGCCACCATTTTCTAACAGATTAATGCCATATGCAACTCCCTTGCACATTTTCTAGAGCTGTATGAAATAAGAGGTAACAATAAAAAAAGTTATATAAATTTTGAAGTGATTTAGCCTCCCAACATTACGTAGATTTGAGGTTTGTAATTTTAATGTAAGGGCCATAAAATAGGCATTGCAGACAGTCTGTGTATAAAGGTTTTGTGAGGAGAATAAGTAGTTTTGGCAACTGCTTAAACAATATAATGGCCATCTATATAACCTCCTCCACTTTGGTTGATAAACACTAACATCTTACAACAGATCGTAGTACAACTTGTTTTTCTGCATCTTTCAAAAGCACTAATTACTTAGGCATTACATGGCCCATCATCAAGTAGTTCTAATGAAATTTGTGATCAGGCTTAAACTATCCTCTTTGTTGTTATATGGCACATTCAAGTTCAATGCAGTTTTAATGCAGTCATGATGAAAACACTTTTCTGAGTCTAGTTTGTGCAGCAAACAGATTTGCATCATCAGAGAGCGTTTGCTGGGAATGGAGGAGGCTTTTCTGTTGTTTTTAACACCAGGTGGTTTTGTCAGTTTCTTGTATTTAAGTGATTTTGAATGCAGGCACTTCCCTCTATTCCCAGGATGTATACCTATATCTATAGATATAGATCTATATAGGTCTAAATAGATCTAAATAGATACATATCCTTTATGCTACTTATCTTCATCCCACCTTTTCTTCTCTACCCAAATTAAAACTGCAGTTTTAACTAATCTAGTTCTATCCACTTAGCCACATAAAATCCATACTATGAATAGTTGAATGATTTTTCAAGCAATTATCTACCCAGATTCTTTTGAATTCTGCAAGGTTCTGACTCCAGTGGATTTTAGCCTCCACAGGTCAAGGCTCCTGCGCCGCTGCTGCTGCAGACACTGACATCACTATACTGCATGAATGAAAAACAACAACGTGCTCCATTTCTTGCTCTCCACCTCCTTTTAAATGCACTCTACTCTGGTGTGTTTAAGATGGTGTTATGCTGCATTCGAAACTACATAACAGTGTTAAATTAAGTAGATGGTGGCTCAAGGGAGATGTACTTACTATAGAGACGGATTGTTTACAGAATGCTGTAGTGCTTTGGGCATTTAGACTGGAGGTGACATAACTAAGCATTCAGTGTTTTTGGTCTAAACTGTTGGTTACAGGAGAAACATAGAAGGGATAAGAAATCTTTGTGATTCTTTATCCTGTTAGGATTGGTGAGGCCACCTAATTTTCAAATATGTTGGATCATTATCGCCCTATTAAACATTCTTAGTATTTATAAGGGTTTATAAAGGCTAGAGTAATAGCTAAGCGATATCAGGTTATTTCACAAGACCTAGAAAATGCTCAATTCTATAGTAGTTAAAATCAGTTTCAGTATTGTCAATTTATAAAATGCAGCAAAATATGTTAATTTCACCTTTTAATAGCACAGTTTTAAAGAATTTAAAGGAGCATATCAGTAAATCTCTACATCTTGTTCTTTATAGAGGACATGAAATTTTGCACTTTATAGCTGAATTTAATTTTTTTGATTTCTTTTATAATTTTCAAACTTAAAGCTTTGTTATTTATATTCATTTCTGTACTTCTTCCATTAGCAAAATGTCATCCTTCCCCTTGTTTGGTTCTGAAGGGTCTTGAAGTGGTGAATGACAAGCTGCTGAATGCATCCTTAGGCTCCCTGTGATGTGTTTGTAATAGATGTAAAATCATAAAGTATTATGCAAATAGTTATTTTTGTAATGGTAATATATAAAGTCTACCTTTGAGAAAAGTAGAAAGACTCAAATGAGAATATAGTAGTGTGTTAGTGTTAAAATTAATGATCTTTAAAATAATCAGTGCAACCAAAAGGAAATATAATAAAGTTGCTTCTTTCTCCAACATCTCAGAGCAAAATCCATGGATTAAAAAAAGAATCAGTGCAGTTTACTATGCAATATAGTAATAAGTGCAGATCCTCTTGAGGATTTTTTTGATAGCTTTTTTTTTAACTATTAGGATAAATTATAAATTCTAAAAAAATCCCCAGCTGCATTAGAGTATTCTGGATGAGAAGAGTGCCTATTTTTGAGTGAACCAAATGGAGTCACAAACCAAAGGATTTAGATACCTTTGGTGTGAAAAATAGCCTAAGTTGATTCTGTGTTTCACGTCGGATTTGTTTAGGTCTAAAATTCTACCAGATTACTACTGAATGAAATTTGAATAGGATTTTTATGAATACTTTGAGTCTTAGCTTTTTGTCTTAAGAAATTTGATTTCATTTTAAAGTAAGATACAAAGTAAGCATATAATGTTACATGATTAATTGTGATATATGTATGTATATATAGTTTAGTGAATTTGCTTGAATTTTTGGTCTTTCAAATTTTCCTTTTCATGATTTACTCATTTTGTGGATTGCCATGGTTTTTAATTACCTTTCACTTTTTTACAGATACCCAGACATTCTCTTATACTATAGGATTATCTATTAGGCTACATTTAGAAACCAAGTTCCTTCCCTTGTTTCTCCCCCTTTAAAATTAAATTTCTTAGAGTACTTATTTCAAAGCTTTTCTTTAGTTAAGTGAAAATATGTGAAGGTTTTGTCTCATACTTCCCTAAAGAGAAATGTTTCAAATACTGATTTGAGAAGAAACTTTGAGCCTTTGGAAAATATACTGTCAACAGTGTTGATTATTTATGTACTTAATTTTCATCATCAATTATAGTACATAAAACTTTCAGATCAATAGGTGAATAGAAACAGAAGGTAAAATTTATTCTTAAAGTATACCACCTCTTGCTCAAATTTATATTTCTCAAATAACTATTTCTATAAGCTTATTGAATGTTGTATAACAAAAGTGTATAAGAGAGTCTTAGTTTTACTTTATACAGAGTTTTGTATGTGCATATAACTGAAAAAAATTTATAGCCCTTTTTGCTGAAGTATACATTATTTAATACGGTGTATATTTCTTCAGTGACTTCATGCAGTCTTCCTCCAGTCCTATCCTGTACATTGAGGAAATGTTGAGGACCCATGACATCCTTAGGTTTTTTTTGTTTTATTTGTGCCAGTGCAGGCTAAAGATGAATAAGTAAGTTGGACTTTGTGGCAGAGGATTACTATGGAAATAAATGGCCGTGTTTAGTGAACACCTATTAGACCACTTTCCCCCTTAAGTCTGAAATTTTAAAAATTATAAAAACCTGTTTTCACTAAAGTTTACATACAGTTTTAAGTGTACTGATGACTTTGTTTTAATTTTAACTAAGTGCTTTCTTCAGTGCTTAAAATTTCTCAACATTACCAAGACAGACTTTTCAGAGAACCAGTCTTCAGTATATTGCTGCCACTATTGTCTTCATTATAAAATATATTCTTAGCAAATGTCAATGGAACCAAATCACTGACACTG